GATGCTATGATACAAAGGTATGCTTCCTATTTTTAATGCGCATTTCCCACAATTGCTACTTTCTCAGCTCCCTTAACAATCCCCAGATCAGAGCATGTATCCTAAGGGATGGTTCTCATTTGGGGTCTCTCTCTGTCTTTGATTTGGACACCTGTTTCTATTTATAGGTCTCTGAGATCTTTGATTAAGATCAGGTTTTCTGTCCTTTCATGACTCCCCTCTGGCAGAGTAGTCCTTGCTAGTTCTTTAAAGTTCCTGGCTTTAAAATCATGAAGTTTTATACTGGGATAATTATAATTCTTAAAAGTGTAACTTAAATCCATTCTTGAACATTTATCTTTTGATTTTTATTCTTCTTTACTGTATCTCTAAAAGAGAAACGTTCATTCATATGAATTAATCAGTTTTCTTCATATTATTAATAATAATAATCCAAGTCTTATTTTAGGATAAGCTTTTTTTAAAGATCTTCCTGGCTATTAAAGAAAGTCCGATTCTCGGAAATGTATTGTCAGGATTTTTAAATCTAGGAACTGTATAAATTTCTTCAAATTAGGTGGGTATTTTCTTAACAACTAAGTGAAATCTTGACAATGAAATCAGATTTTTAAAAAAATTAACTCTTTTTCAGTAGACAAAAGTGGTAGAAAAGCATTTTAAGTCAATTATGGTTTAGGACTTCCTGTAAAGAAAGACTGTCTATCTAGTTTGTACTAGACTTTATTTTTGCTTCAATGCCAAACTGTAATACCATCGTTTGACCTAATATTTTACTCTGGTAAATGATCTTTTATTTGTGAGTGGATTTTGTGCATTAGAAATATCAGGAAACTAAGAGCAATTGAAAATACAAGTAAATGGTTTAGTTTGTGGAATGCTCTTTCTCTTCGCAGTTTGCTCAGCTCTGTTAGCTGAGCTCTTTCTGTCATTCTATTTTCTGCTTTCGCTGAAAAATACTTGATTGTTTGGGTAGAAGATCCAATCTCCATAAATACTTTGGGAGATAAGTTTTATGAAACTTATTTCAGGTTTTCTCAGCAAGTTAGAGAGCTGCATAAGTTATATAAAATTACACTGATATATTGCAGTAGCATAAGAGAGATTACTAGTCAAATGAATAAACAAATTTACAAAGTAAGATCTCCTTCATAACTTTATTTCCTTTTGTCTGCTTTTTTCTTCCTTTTTGGTGGACACTCTGCCTCTTGGTTTACTTAGTACCATTATTGTGTTAATATTAATTATTAGTCTTTTCTCAAAAAATAATCCAGGATGATCTTTTCCATTGTGCCCAGTTTATTTCTCTCTGTGAAGGTCTCTAGCACCAGGCCAGCATGTCTGATTTAGGAAAGCTGTCAGCTGGCAGAGGAAGTGTGACTTCTTGCCTAGTTTTAACTTCCACTGCTGACCCAGACATGCCATTTTCCAAGGCTCGATTGGCTCATTGTGTTTATTCTGCTAGTACTAAGAACTAAGTCTCAGGTAACTTTTTCAGTTTTCTTTTCTGCTGCCTCCTCTCCTCCCTCAATTCTTTTT